GTCTAATGTCATCCAGTTCTCCTTTTAAACAAGTCTGAACTTCACTTAAGATGATTTTTATAGACAGCTGTCAAATGGGTCCAGATGAGCAGGTTCACAATTTGTCATTAAAAGAATATTGTGCTAAATGAGTCCAAAATAATCATTTCTATTAAAAAAATTCACTTCAAACCACCAAGTCTGGATGTTTATTAAAACACAGAATCTCTTTATGCCAGGCTAGACTCACCCTCACAGTGCAGCTCAAGAATGACCTTGGGCTTCTGATCCTCTTGTCTCCACCTCTGGAGTGCTGGGACTACAGTGCACACCCCCATTCCATTGTCTTCTATGTTGAAAATCATCCCTTTGCCAACTGAGCTTAAATCCTATGCCCCTGAAACATTTTAAAGCATTCAATTGTTCTCTCTAGAAAACAGCTTGATTCTCTCTCAGTGTTTCAAGTGAAAACTACATCATGCTTTGAGAATATATGTTTTGTTTTTGAATCATATTCAGACAGTGGTATTTCATTCCCCTCCTGACAAAGTGGTAAAACCAAAGGTAAATGGAAAGTGAATAATTAAATTTCTTTCTCTTATTCTCTGAAGACATCAATTCAATAAGCATAAATAAGATAGTGAAACTTCATTAGAGAAAAGTTAAGTTCAACAAATTGTCTCCCAAATATATAATTCTGAAGACCATGACTAGTTAAAACTTGTCTCACCTTTAATTTTTCAGTTACTTATTTGTTTGATTAGTTGGTTGATTGGTTGGTTGGTCAGTTAGTTGGTTGTCTTTAGAGACAGGGTCTTTCTCTGTTCCCCAGGGCTGGCTTTGTGCTCCTGAGCCTCCTACTTCAGTTTCCCAAGAACTGAGATCATAGGCATGCATCACCAGGGTCTTCCTAGTCTTTACCACTAAAAATAGAAGTCCCAAATACATGTTCCTCAATTGAAGTATGAAATCAAGTTATTCCCAGTGTAATGTAAAATGATGGGCATAATAATAGAGTGGAAATCAAATTGATCTCTTTAATTTCTGATGGTTTCCCAATCAGCACACTCCTTTGTGTTTGAATAGTGTTTCTCAATTATAAAGATGAGCACATTGCAAACTAAGTGCCCATTTTGCTGCATCTCGAGCTGATGTGATGCTTGTTAATTTACTCTCATTTCATACATTTATTTCAGTAAAATACCTCCCTGTCCTTTGCAAGAGGTGTGAATTAAGATCAAAACACCAGTCTGTTTCAGCATCCACTGCAATGCAGTTACTCGAGATCAAACACACACATGTCTACGTTTTCTTTTATGTAAAAGAAATAGACTGGGTTGCCTCCTTCAGGAAACATATGAGAGATTTTAAACTTGAAAAAAAAATGAAAAGAAAAATTGAACATAGGGACAAGAATAAAATTGCTGTAAAAAGAAAAAGAATGGGAAAACCTAGACTGTCATTCAAGTCTCCTTGCTAAATAGGAGATCAAACCCTGGCTTTCTCCATTTGGCTTCATCCTGTTTCCTTTAATGTCATTTGGAGAACACACAAAGCAATTAAACCCAGGGCTGCTATAGCCACAAAGGTTTAGAATGATCTGGCACTCTCGGAGCATCAGAAAGAAATTACTTCAGCGCAGTGGGTAGATTTTTTTCAGGTATCACTTAGCCTGGAAGCTGTTCTTTCCCTGCCAAAAAGCCAGGGCTATCTCTAACAACTTCTTACCACCAGGCAAAGACAAGGGGACACAAAGCCAGGAGAAATTTCAAAGAGAAAGCCAAAGCCCTATCCGGTCACTGGCAATAGGGATGGCATTTTCTGAGCCTGCACTGAAGGAGAATAAGCCTTTGGCAATAAATTAGGAACCTGGGGAATTAAAGCTATAAAGTGTAGTTGAGAAAAATTTTATAATAATTAACAGCAGAATCAAACCCTCTCTGTTGTGCTAAATGTTCTAATAGAGAAATATAGGACACAGAAAAGTAAGCAACATCAGATCTGGGGCCAGACCCACACACCAGGGTCCCAAGCTAAGCAAAACCTATATTTGCCTGACACAGCTGCAGTGAAATTATCCATCTTTTAAGAATCTATCAGCATAACCAGAATGGGCTCACAATGAGAAGAATTCACCAGTTTTCTCAGTAAATGCACAACCTCTGAGGAAGTGTACGTATTCTTATGCATTTGCGGAAGAAAACTGTGCTAAAAATGACTCAGCCCATTTCCTAGTAACTCAAAGATAATAAGAAATGGTAACTTGGATATTTACTTTAGGTTAGAGAAACCAAATTATAAATGCAGGTGGAAGAAGGGGCCCATTTTCTGAAGTACAGTTTGTAGCGAATGTGTGTGTGACTGATTGATACACTGAACTCTGCATAACATCGCTCTGCTGGTACAAGACTAACAGTCCTGCACCACTGCTTCCAAGTTCTCTATATAAATTCCAAAACCACAAAGAATAAGTTTTAGAATAATTGAAACTAGAGGCCATCCCTCCATAGATACCTGTAGAATAGACAAATTGCATGGTTTAAAGAGAAATCTGGCACTAGAGAAATGTTCAAAGATCTACAAGGTTAACCCCAACTAACAATATAAGCAATAGTGGAGAGGCTACCTTAAAAGCCCTTCTCCTGTAATGAGAATGATGACTACCTTATATGCCATCCTAGTGCCTTCATCCAGTAGCTGACAGAAGCAGAAGCAGACACCCACAGCTAAACACTGAACTGAACTCCTGGAATCCAGTTGCAGAGAGGGAAGAGTGATGAGCAAATGGGTCAAGACCGGGTTGGAGAAACCCACCGAAACAGCTGACCTGAACAAGGGGTTGCTCATGGACCTCAGACTGACAGCTCAGAAACCAGCATAGAACTGTTCCAGACACCCTGAACATGGGATGTCAATTTGGAGGCCTTGGCAATCTATGGGGCCTCTGGTAGTAGATCAGTATTTATCCCTAGTACACAAATGGACTTTGGGAGCTCATTCCACATAGAGGGATATTCTCCCAGCCTAGACACACTGGGGAAGGTGTAGGCCCTGCTCCAAATGATATGACAGACTTTGAAGATCACCCATGGAAGGTCTCACCCTCCCTAGGGAGCAGAAAGGGGATGGGATGGGGGTTGGTGGGGTACAGGGGTGGAGGAGAGGGAGAGGGAACTGGGATTGGCATGTAAATGACAAGAAAAAAGAAATGCATTTCAGTGTGTCCAATCCTGGATAGAATCCATGTTCCTAGAAGAGAGTCCCAAAATGGGTCATTGTAAAGATCTTGATGAATTTGGCCCAGGTCATACTACACACAACTTCACTCAAGTCATACTGAAACTCATGAGCTATTTCAGACAGTTTGTATTTGCTCTATGCAATTAAATCTTATATTAAGCACTAGGGTCTTAAAGCAGAAGATACAGACTGTTACTATAAAAATGATAACGTCCAAGTGAGATTTGCTATATATCTTGTATAAGATGGAATATTTAATAACTAACTTCTTTTTCACTTTAACATTATTGTATTTTATTTGTATGGGTGTTTTGCCTGCATCTATCTCCATACATGGTGACATGAGACTAGAAGGTGTTATCCAATGCTCTGGAATGGAAGTTATAGAAAGTTGTTAGCCACCATGTGGATGCTGGGAATCAAGCCCAGGTCCTCTTGGGGAGCACCCAGTGCTCTAACTACTGAGCCATCTCCCAGCCCAACACTAACTTCTTTCTACCGACAAGAACTCAGCATGAACTTATGTGTATAAGAAGGCCTAGCAGTAGTTTCTGTGAACCCCAAGTACCTGGACTCACAATAATAGGAAATAACAAAAGCATGCCTCCTGCCCATTTCTTTTTTAATTTAAACTATAAAAATATATTGCTTCAGTTAGACAGTGCTTTGGGTTATAGCTAAATTTCCCTATGTGTTTCTAGTTCTGAATTAAAAAAAAAAAAAACTTAAATAGGCTCAGAGGATTTGAGCTTCAGGCAGTTATTTCTTTGTGTTTCTTCTTGCTTTTTGCCCCACCAAGAGTCATAAAAATGGTTCTTGTGGTATTCCAGTCAGTCTTGCTTGTGCTCTAACAGTTTGGAAATTCTGACCACATCATTCTAATGAACAAGAAATTCAATGAAAATTTATGAGCTCTGAGGTGAGATGAAGATAAATATCCAGGTGATGGCAGCCATGTTGAGTAAAGACACAATTTCAACAAATTTGTCTCTAACAATGAAGATAGAGCTGATGTCTATTCATGGGCCAAATATTTTGTATCAAGAAACTGTAGCAAATTTCTCCACTTAAAAGGTCACAGTTTCACCTACAGTATATCAAACTTTATGTGTGGTGTGTCTCGGACATGGCAGGAGTTGTTAAATATATGTGGCTTAATTACACTAAGGAGGTTACAGAATTTCTAATCAACTTAGGTCTCCATTTTTCTTATAAATGTTTTCTTTTCATCTTTTAATATTGATTTATCATTTCTAGTCAATGAGTGTAGTCCTAAGCACCCATACATATTACCTCCTCTAGTCCCGTGTTATTCGGAGAAAACGCAGACATGAGAAGGGTAAAAGCTTTGAAAAGGTCACTCAACTTCTTAGATAACTGAGCCTCAGATCTCCAGTCTAGCTCCAGAATCCAAGTCCTTAGCACAGGCCTCTCATGTCTTCTCTGATCTTCCCATAAAGCATGAGTCTCAGAAGAAAGCAGGCTTTCTCACCTTACCTTCTGAAAACAAAACAAGCAAAACAAACAACAGCAAAACCCTCCTCTTTCTTTCACAAAATACAGAAAAACAAAAGAGGAAAAAATGCATTACCACAAAAGATATCCCAGGACAAGCTTGATGTTTTAAGATATCGCTTTGTCTCGTCCTCTCCCCTGCTAGGAACATTTGGATACTGAGAAATATTCTGATTACTACAAGAGGCTGAATCAACCATGTGGAGATTCAATGCCCTGCATTGTATGAGATACCCCACACACACACACACACACAAATAAGATACCTGGTCTAAAACATCAACAGCATCAGTGTTGAAGAACTCTGGCTTGCCGTGTTCATCTTCACAAAGTGTCTGCACCAAGGTCTTGATTGGCTGTTGCTTCACTGAAGTATGCAGAGTGCACAATGTTAGAGGAGAATAGCTTCACTGTTGCTCATTTACCCAGCCATTTAACATACCTTCATGTGGGTGGTGTAGCTTTGAAGCCTAAATCTTTGAAAAGTCCCTGAGATATTTTTTTTTAAATTCTGCTACATTTGTAATGTAGTTTTTCAAATATCTAAGAAAGAATTCTTTGACAAGGTGACATTGTCAAATTAAGATGAAGAAAATTTGCATTTATTTTCCGTCATTCATGAAAAGACATGGAGATCTGGCAACCATCAAAGATTGTCACTTTCAGCTGTCAATGTCTAAGACAATTTTTTTTTAAATTGCAAGAATACATTTGCTTCACACTGTGATTTTGGAATATTTATCACAAGGGTAAGTATGAACACAAACCATGTCCATCAACTTAAAAAAAGTTACAAAGAGGATTTTGCCTTCATAGAAACAAGAAAGAATTTTTTCTGTAGACTATAGCTTGTAAAAATGCCCTTGACAACAAGAAATTCTTAGGGTTTTCTCATTCTTTGTACTACTTACAAGTATAAAGGAGTCAGGAATGAAAGTAAATCATAACAATGTCTCTTTAACTTTATGGTTCTTACACAAAATGCTGCCACTAAAACACCAGGGGTATGATAGGTGGCCTCCATCATTCTCTCTGCTGTGCCTGCCCATTAGCTAATATGTTACCAAATCACATTTTTGGGCAAAAGCCTGATCCCTCTAGGACTGGCATTTCAAATAAAGGAAATTGACACCCACAGGAAGAGACACATTAAATTGCCTCTTTAGTTTTATGCTTTAACTGATGGTGTTGACCGGTATTACTCAAAAGACTTCTAAAGTGTGTGTGCTTCTAACAGAAAGGAGACAAGTGTGAGTTATGGGATGGGGGCCCAGTATCCAACATGGGTCTAAGATAGTCGATGCTTAGTCTGGAATGTTTTACTGACTGGGAAAAAAAAGACACTTCTCAGAAATCCTGAACAACATATCACAAGACTGTTCTCCATATTTCTAGTATTTAATAAGAATGTAAGAAAATGTATAAATAAATGATATATAGAGAAGAGCTGGCTTCCTAAAGTGCATATCCCTTGTCTTGCAATGTGACTTTAAAAAGGTAAAAATGCACAGTAAGAAACATAACAATCTCATAATTCCATCATTAAGGCGAAAATAAAAATCCATTCCCTCATACAAATTGAGAAACTTGGACCACATAAGGCTTGCCTGTCTGGTTCATATTCAGATCTGTTAAGCCTTTTGTTTTTTGTGTAGATTTTCATTTCCTGTTCCCCAAAGACATTTCCAAAAATGTTCACTGTCACAAATGTCTTTTCTGTAGCACCCATTCCATTTCTCATGAAGGGCTGCAAGGATCTATTACTAGTGACTGTCACACGTGGCAGGCCCTGATTCTTCTAAGGGCCATCAGCTGCTGCTGGAGAGCTGCTCATTTTCCGGCAAATTTACTTGTATGAATTCTCTGAGATGAGGATAAATATGTATTCCAAAAGAGATGTTTTAGCTTCCGCTCAGACATTTTAAACTCTAGTATTCCAATGTGTGACATCATGGGCTGGATTGGTACTGGTATGATATGAAAATGTTAAATGCAAACAGGAAGTATATGATAGAATCAATGAAACAATTTATAGTTTTAATTTTTACCAACAATTCAAAAGATCTCCTGTCAAAGCTAATTCCTATCTGCCTCTGGGAATAAAAACATGGGCCCGGAGATGCTTTCTTTCAGGGACAACATGTAAAAACTCTGATCTTGGTCCTCTACGGAGATTCTGGTGTTTTGGTCCCATTCTCTTCTAGATAAGTGTCCTTACAGGAAAAGCACCCCCACTGCTACATTTCTTTTCCTGAGTTATTATCTTCAATGAGACTTGGATTCTAAATGTTTTATCTGGACACCTTTTCAGAACATACTGTGGTATTCTATCCAAGCTCTAGAGAACTGCCTCCCCACTCTATTACTGAGCAGAGACATCTCTATTAAAGTAATTGCCATCTGACTTTGCTCTCATTACCTAGTAGAAAGCTGAGCAAGGCAGTGGAGAGCACATGTAATTGCCTTCTTTAGAAAAAGTTATCATTACAGTAAAGAAAAAATAGAATAACCCACAATAATGAATACAATGGAGGAAACATTTCTAGGAGATACAGTAAGAGAAAGGGAATCGATTGATTTAAGGAAGCAGACATTGTCAGTTTTCTTTGTACTACTAGGGATCAAGCCCAGAGCCTTGGATTCCTACATAAGAACTATGTCAATAAGGCAAATCCCCACCCAGCTCAATCATCTTGACTATGTCTAATTGTCATTTGCCAAAGGACAAGCAAGTTCAAGTTTAAAAAACATCTTACATTTTATTTATTTATTTTACTTATGTGTATGTATGTTGAGAAGGGCAGGTGCATATGTGCTTTGGCAAATGTATGAACATCAAAGAAAAATTGGGGGAGGAGATTCGATTCTTTCTATCTGTGGGATCTAGGAGTCAAAGTCAGTTTGTCAGTCTTGGCAACAAGCACCTTCACCCTCTGAGCTGTTTCACTGACCCACAAGTAGAAATTTCAAGGCTTCTCTTCTCCAAAGCAACAGTAAGGATATGAAACAATAGAAATGTTCATTAGTCAAATTTAGCCACATATTTCAAGATAACCATAAAACTAAATAACTTTTATTATTCATTTAAAATTAATAAAGATACCAAAAATTATCTGAATACCTCAAAATATGTGTGACAAGTGTCTTGACAAATGGCTCACAGCTGAGAGCACTAGTGGATCTTCCAGAGGACTCTGAGATTGATGACTACCTTATATTCTAGAGCATTCATCCAGTAGCTGAAGGAAGCAGAAGCAGACACCCACAGCTAAACACCGAACTGAACTCCTGGAATCCAGTTGCAGAGAGGGAGAAGTGATGAGCAAATGGGTCAAGACCAGGTTGGAGAAACCCATCGAAACAGCTGACCTGAACAAGGGGTTGCTCATGGGCCTCAGATTGACAGCTCAGAAACCAGCATAGAACTGTTCCAGACACCCTGAACATGGGATGTCAATTTGGAGGCCTTGGCAATCTTGAGCCTCTGCTAGTAGATCAGTATTTATCCCTAGTACACAAATGGACTTTGGGAGCTCATTCCACATAGAGGGACATTCTCCCAGCCTAGACACACTGGGGAGGGTGTAGGCCCTGCTCCAAATGATATGACAGACTTTCTAGAGCCCCCATTAGAAGGCCTCATCCTCCTGGGGGAGCAGAACGGAGATGGGATGGAGATTAGTAGGGGGCAGAGGAGGAGGAGAGGAAGAAGAAATTGGGATTAACCTGTAAAACAAGCTTTTTTCTAATTTAAATTTAAAAAATCTAAAAAAAAAAAAATTCCAATTCTCAATACCCAAATGGTGGCTCACAACCATCTATTAACTCTAGTCTCAGAAGATCTGTCGCCCTCTAATGGCAATCATATGCACTGCATGCACATGGTGGCACACAGACAAAATAGCCTCACACATAAAAACAATAAATCATTTTAACTTTTTTTATTTGTATTAGAAACAGGATTGTTTTACATGACAATCCCAGTTCCCTTCTCCCACCCGGCTTCCTCTACCACCCCTCCCAACTAAAATCCTATGTATCACATATCCTTTCTGCTCCCCCTTGATGGTGAGGCCTTCCATAGGGTGTCATCAGTGTCTATTGTATCCTTTGGGATAGGGCCTAGGCCCACCCCTGTGTGTCTTGGCTCAGGGAGTATTCCTCTATGTGGAATGGGCTCCCAAAGTCCACACCTATGCTAGGGATAATTACTGAACTACTACAGGAGGTCCCGTAGGTTTCTGAGGTTTCCTCATGGAAACCCATGTTCCTGGGGTCTGGATCAGTCCCATGCTAGTATCCCAGGTATCAGTCTGGGGAGCAAGAGTTCTCCGATGTTCAGTTCAGCTGTTTCTGTGGTTTTCACCAGCCTGGTCTGGACCCCTGTGCTCTTCACTCGTCCTTCTCTGCATCTTGGTTCCAGTTCAGTTCGGTGATTAGTTGTGGGTATCTCCTTCTACTTCCACCAGCTGCTGGATGAAGGCTATAGGATAGCATATAAGTCAGTCATCAATCTCGTAATCAGGAGAGGGCATTTAAGGTAGCCTCTCCTCCTTTGCTTAGATTGTTAGCTGGTGTCATCTTTGTAGATGTCCAGACATTTCCCTAGTGCCTGATTTCTCTGTAAACCAAAAATGTCTCCCTCTATTATGATATCTCCATTCATGTTATCATCTATTCTTCCCCTGACTCAAACTTTCTGCTCCCTTATGTCCTCTGCATCCCTCTTCTTCTCCCCTTCTCATTCTCCTAGCTCCCTCCTCCCTCTTCCCGTGCTCCCAATTTGCTCAGCAAATCTTGACCCTCCCCCCTTCTCCAGGGGACCATGTTTATCACTCTTAGGGTCCTCCTTGTTTATTAGATTCTTTGGCAGTGTGGATTGTAGGCTGGTAATCCTTACTCTATGTCTAAAATCTGCATGTGAGTGAGTACATGTTTGTCTTTTTGTGATTTAGTCACTTCGCTCAGAATGGTTTCTTCTAGTCCCATCCATTTTCCTGCAAATTGCAAGATTCCATTGTTTTTTTCCACTGTGTAGTACTCTATTGTGTAAATGTACCACATTTTCTCTATTCTTCTGTTGAGGGGCATCAAGGTTGCTTCCAGTTTCTGGCTATTACAAATAATGCTGCTATGAACATCGTTGAACAGATATCCTTGTTGTATGAATGTGCTTCTTTTGGGTATATGCCTAAGAGTGGAATTGCTGGATCTTGTGGTAGACTGATTCCCATTTTTTTGAGGAGTCACCAAACTGATTTCCAAAGTGGCTACACAAGTTGGCACTCCCACCAGCAGTGGAGAAGTGTTCCCCTTTCTCTTACTCTATCAGAATGGCCAAAATCAAAAACACCAATGACAGTTCATTTTAACTTAGATGGGGTAGAAGGGGGAATTGATTGCTAAGGAAAATTTAAGCAGCACAAACTTTCTGTGTATGTCCTTGGCTTTCCACACTGTGGTTTTTTGTTTGTTTGTTTGTTTGTTTGTTTGTGTTTTAAATGCAACTCATTTTTCCATGCTAAGCCAAGGAACAACACAGAAAGAATAGATGCTGGAGACATTTGTTTTATTTTCTAAGAGGTAAGAAAGCACAGAGAACAGCTTGAACTTTGGGTTAGCTATTCATACAGTTATAGGTGAAGTATTAAATAAACATGAATTTTTTTATCATACTTGACCTATTACTTGGCCTCAAAAATATTGGCCACATGGTGAATCTGTCCAATATAAGTCAAATAACTAAAATTTGCTTTATTAAATCACTTTTAATTAACATGTTTTGATTACATTTTACTATTTCTTTCAGTGCAATATCATTTCCTCTTTAATATTCTTTTTCCTTTTAACTTTCATCTTTCGTTATTTCAACTGAGAAGAGTAATAAAAAAGTAAATTACACTAAACAAAACAGTGATCAAAATATAATCAAGAATTTTTAATATAAAATCCAGTTACATTATTGATCTAGGCAATCTGAATGTTTTCTCTGTATCATGCAGGCAGAGGCCAGCGTTTACTATGAGAATCGTGTAAACATTACAACCTCCACACTGAAAACTTGACAAGGAAAAATGACCAAATTTTTATTGAGCTGGGCTAAGATGTCCAAGAAACTAAGAATGCGTCAGTAGAATGGTTTTGCATGGGGAGGGAAGATCTTCATCCTAGTGAACACTGGCAAAAGTTGTTATACACTGTAGTGACAGACATGAATTACAGAATTCCCTTGGGGCAGTGCAATCCAGACAACATCATCACTATGAATCTACTAATCCCAAATGGATATAGGCAAAAAAGAGACACCTGACAGATATGCCAAGTTTGTAAAAGTAACCCAAGAAGGTTACTTTTGGTAAGGGTTTGTCAAAAGTAGCACTGTTCAATTGGTTCTTGTGGTTCTGGAATCCCCCAGAACATAAAAGCTATTGGAGAACAGGTTTCAGATCCCAGGTAAAAACATCTTGGCATCTTATAAAAAATGGGCTAATTGAAAACATAACATGTGCTCTAAGAAAAGGCCTTTTTTATTGCCCATCCCCCAAGCCAGCATGAGAGCAGAGCTCTGAGCAGACCAAATGTATAGTACTAACTGAAAAGTCTAAACCTTCAGTAGATGGAAGCAGCTAATGGAAGAAAATTCTGTAAGTCCCTATCTCTTAATGGCTTTTGGTGATAAAGTATTTGTTACCTAACTTTTTATTGAGAGACAAGGACCAACTATCTATTTAGCAAGATAGGGCACCAAGACCACATATAAATGACTGTACCAATGTTTACCCTGGTGAGTCTGTGAGTTTGTTTGGGTCACTGAGGGAGCATGAGTGACTTTAGCAGCTACTACATTACCAAAAGCTCCACCCTAGCATAGGTGAGGGTTTGTGAAAGCAAAGATCCCACTGTTTACTGCTTGCATCACCTCAAAGACAGCCTTCCAAAAAACTGTAGCTTGCTGTCCTAAGTTTCTTTTGAATTTCTTGAGCCATCCCATTGCCTCTAGAAGGGAATATTTCAAGTCAGAGGAAATAGCTACACTACAGCATCCATGACCCACTAAAGGATATAATTTAAACCTATAATGTCTTCCTCTATTATATTAGCTCTTATCTTGCTCTCTTCTGTTCTTCCTCAAACTCAACCTCCCTGCCCCATCATGTCTTCCTCACACCTCCTCTTCTCCCCTAATCAGGCACTAGGGAAATGTCTGGAGAACTACAAAGATGACACCAAATAAAATCTAAGCAACAGAGAAGAGGCTACCTTAAATGCCCTCTTCTGATAATGAGATTGATGACTTATTCATATGCCATCGTATGGCCTTCATCCAGCAGCTGGTGGAAGTAAAAGCAGACACCCACAGCTAAACCTTGAACTGAACTGAAATCTAGTTGCACAGAAGGAGGACTGATGAGCAAAGGGGTCCATACAAAGATGAAGAAACCCACAGAAACAGCTGACCTGACCAAGGGAGAGCTCTTGGTCCTCAGATTGATAGCTGGGAAATTAGCATGGGACTGATCCAGACACCCTGAATGTGAGACTTTGGAAATCTATGGGGCCCCTTGTAGTGGATCAGTATTTATCCCTAGCATAGGAATGGACTCTGTCCCTCCATCCCTCATGGAGGGATACTCCCTGAGCCTAGACACAAGGGGGTTAGCCTAGGCCCTATCCCAAAGGATATGACAGACTTTGAAGACCCCTTACGAAAGGCCTCATCCTCCCTGGGGAGCAGAAACGGTATAGGGTAGGTAGGGTATTAGTTGGGGGGCATGGGAGGAGGAGAGGTAACTGGGATTAACATGTAAAATAATCTTCTTTCTAATTAAAATAAAATAAAAATGATAGAATTTCATGTTGTAAAAGCCCATATTTATAGAGATCAAACAGGTTCAGTATTTTAAAATACCATAAGGTAAACCATAAAACAAATGTAAAGTAAGTTAATTCAGAGGTCAACAAGACAAACTAGAACATTGGTTGTTCAGAAAGTTTTGTGAGTTAAATGAATATGCTGAGCACTAGAGCTGTTTGAATTACAACCTTTTACTAAAACATGCATCTTTATTTCCTTCAGCAATCAAGAACAGCTACAATGCTGCTGCTTTCAGTCAAGCCCAGTATGCAGTATTTTTCCCAAGCTAAAGCAATGGACAATGGCTTCCTCTGTGTGGACCATTTTTAACTAGCCTTCTCCAGAAGAAATGTTAGTCTCATAATTAGCCTCTGATTTAGTAGAATCTCTGCTTAATAAATTTACCTAGAACAATGAATTTTAACAAAAAATATTTGAAATATTTCTATTTAATGAAACAAAACTTTTCATTTTAATTTTCAGGGAATTCAGTTAATAGCCATTGTGCCCTGTGGCACAGTGTTTTATTGAGGGATCCTGAAGCAAAGGAGGTATAACCACCTAAGCACCTATGGTGACCAAGTGGTGAAAAAAATGAAAGAGGATAAAGGAGGGAGGGAGGGAAAGAGAGAGAGAGACAGACAGAGAAACAGTGTTACAATAAACCTTTCCACCAAAAGCCGCCGGAGCATCATTGCCACGTGGGCAGTCTCTGCCAGCCACCCAAGTTCTGCCTGCCTCGTGGATGGACAAAATAATACAGAGACATATTAGGTACAATGCTGCTTGGCCAATGACTAGGATTCTCATCTGTTAGCTCAGTCTTAATCATCTTTCAGCTATATACTTTATAAGACTTACCTTATCGGAAGCCTTATTGGCATCCCTCCTTGCTGGTGGATCACATTGCGCTGCTGGAGGAGGAATGGGAAAAGAGGGACACTTCCTGTTTCTCTTCACTCAAATATGAGTCTCCTTGTTATGACACTTCCAGCCTGGATCACAACTTCTCTACTACATTTCCCAGAATCCTCTTTGACTCCTAGTCCTGTCTAAGTTGCTGCCATTGGCCAAACACTATTTTATTCAACAATCAATAAGATAAACATACACAGAAGTACTTTCCCCATCAAAACAGAGAAAGACAGAGACAGAGAAAGAGGTAGAGAGAGAGAGCATGAGAGAGAGCATGAGAGGAAAGTTAAAATTTCCGGTCTCCAAATAATTCTACACTACATTTAGGGTGAACTGCCTACCACCAAAGAGACATCACTTTAAATTTGAAAGGACCCAAGACATTTGTGTTTGATAAGCTGTTAAAGTCCCTCTATTTCACACAAGACCACTGTTATGAAAATACTATGAAAACTAAGAAGTCTTGTCAGTAACTTATTGCAAGCACAATTCCCTGTTCCTTTTCTGAAGCTAGTTTTAATTGACAATTATTATATAAGTTTAAAATAAACAATAACTATCACTAACTAGAGTCATCACACCCTGTACTGAGTCTCCAAATGTTAGTCTTCTACCTTACTGAAATGTACTCTTTGAACATCTCCACAGTGCCCATCCAAGCATAGGGTCTGATGACCCTTCTGTTCTTTGCATCCATACATTTGACTTCTGCCGATTCTTCACGTATAGGTGAGAGCCTGCAGTTCTTGCCTTTATGTACACAGCTTATCTTGGTTAGGATAATATCCTCTACATTCATTTTCATTGTTGCAAATGCCCAAATTCCTTTCATTTTAAAGAATAAATTATATCTAGTCAGAGAGAGATAATATATGTAATATTAAACAAAAGTATATAATAAATGTAAAATTATATATACAAAGAGAAATTTATATATATGGAGTATTGAGCTGCTCAGCATGGGTGCTGGGAACTGAACCTGGGATCTCGAAGAAAACAGTGTATGCTTTTAAATGCTGAGTCAACTCTTCAGCCACCAAAAAATATTTTTAGTTTCTCTAATTTTCCAAACAATATGCTTTTTCCAGTACATCTATGTAAAGCAAAGGCTTTTATTTGTGTATGTCTGCTGAAGTCTGAAAATACCTTTCTTTCAGTAATGAGTGAGGTCACTGTGCATTGAAATACATACTCTGTATATTGAAATACAGTGAAAACACTGACTCCTTCAGCTGTAAATAAATACAAACCCTAACTTAAGTTTAAGGTCATTCCTATCATCTGTGGTAGCTTGCCCACATATATAATGCAACAGGATTTCTCCCTTGTCTTTGTTCCTTCTAGAACTCTTCAACTTGGTCTCCATAATAGCAGTGTTCAATGGCACATATTTTTTCCATGTGGGATACTTAATTTTTTTTCTTTTAACGATTCTCTGTGGATTTCACATCATACATTCCTATTCTACTCATCACTCATCTCCCTGTTCTCTTGTATCTACTCTGTCCCATTGCAACTCCCCACCCCAAAGCAAAAAAAAAAAAAAAGAAAGAAAGAAGGAAGGAAGGAAGGAAGGAAGGAAGGAAGAAAGAAAGAAAGAAAGAAAGAAAGAAAGAAAGAAAGAAAGTTCTCATGGAAGCTGTAGTGCAGTCCAGTGTGACACACAGTTACTCTTTAGTCCTTACATCTTTACTTGCAAATGTTCATTGCCATGAGTCATTGGTCTGGGTCAAGGCCTCTGGTTTCTGCTACACAGCTCTCACTGGGGTTCCTATTGGATATCCTGTTGTTGTCTTGTGTCATGGAGATCCTGCTGTTTTGGATCTGTAGGGTAATCCCCTTCACATGCTCCAACATAGTCCCCTTCTCATTTTTGATGGTCTCAGAGTCATGCACCAGCAATTTCAGATCTCTGACACTAACAAGTTGGATGGATACCACTTTCTGCTTGGTACATGGGTAAATATTAATTGACAGATTCAGAACACACAGACAAGCTGGATATGATGGCTTCAATGTCACTATTGTCTCATTCTCTTCTCAGGATCCAGTCTAACTTGAGATGTATATTGTAATACCTTCCTAACTTCAATTTGAGGAAATAGAACTCCTCCTTTTAGGCACCATGTATGCATATGATGCTTAATGATAATTATACAGATGTATGCATATAAACATATTAAAAAGGGTAAAAAATAAAGCAGTGTTCTTACCATTCAATGTCACTATGTCTATCATATTAAGTTACATAAAATACTAAATTTCATAAAATATATAAAGATGCCACAAATAAGTTTGGAGATAAACACATCACCTCTGGAAGGCAAATGGTACTGCTAGAGCAGAAAGAAGCATGGAGACTTAATCACAGATGATCCACTGGTTGTGAACATCATATGCTTTGGTCATAGATGTTTCCTAGCAAGTGGAGAGTTCAGATCTCAGTGAGTCAATCTGCATGGGGTACATTGGCAGAACCGTGAGTAATTCTATCTGGTTACGATTTCAGCATCTTTGAAATGATCCTGCCTTTCTAGTTGGATTACAAACTACGTAGGTGTGGAACTCCCTGAGAAATTAGTGCTCTATGCCCCCTTCACAAACAAACACACTAGGCTACTTTTTAATAAACTGCACTTTTAAAGTACATCATCAGGAAAGCAGTAAAGTGGTGAATCTAAATAACTGCAAAACTGTAAGTCCCTGGTTCAAAATTATTTTGCATCTCTGTTTTTCAACTATAAGTGATGTTATGCTTAAATATGCTTTAAGATGTATGCAATAATATGCTTGGGCTGTAACTAAAAGGAATTGGATGCATGTTTGTAAATGATCTGGAAACCTTTTAGGACCATAGCAGTGAGGCCCAGCAGAGCAGTTTAATGAGGAAGCCATATCTTTATTTTCAAGTTAGTGATAACATACTAAAGGAAACGAACATTGGCACAAAGCAGCAGGTAAGCTGGGAACTGTGGTGATAAAAGCTGTAAGAGAAATCTCACACAACAATCTATGCAATGGTCTTCTCCCTTCTCAGGAACACAGCAGAAATGTATTTGTTGCATTGAGACCACTTATTGCAGAACACGAGCTAGCCAATTCCCAGCCCTGATTTCTGAGCTTCCTGAGTAGGTGAATGTAGGCAAGTGCTAAAACACACAACAATGGGGGGCTTTCTAATGGGCAATGCTAGAACCTGACAACATTGTACTTCTGTGAGATGACAGCTGAAAAAATCGAGCAAACAGAGATTGGCTTTACACGGGAAGCAGTTGCTGTCTTTGGGATGCAAAAGCAAAGGAGCTAAAAGCCAAAGACAGCTTCAGAATAAATTTTATTCACTCAAGTCTAGATGACAGCATCATGAAATACATTTGAAAGAAATGATAGGCAGAATTAGATGTTTTCCTACTAATTTTCAAACAGTGTTCACAATTTTTTAAATCTTACATTTCATTGCCTTTCCATTGTTTTGTTAATGTTTTTGACTCATTTTAATAGCTTTATTGAAGCATGGTAACATACAGGAAAGCAGTACATGTTTAATATATGCAATTTGGATAGTTCAGACACACAATCTGTCCAAATATAACACCATCATCACAACCAAGCCTTTAAATGCATCTATTGCTTCCAAAACTTTCCTTATATCCTTTTATATGTCATTGGGCTTTTTGTTTTGTTCTGGTGGTGATTTTGAGTTTAAAAAAAACATTCAAAATGTGTGCACAGGTGAGCTGGAAACTGGGATTTTGTTTTTTTACTTTGTTGACACACACACACACACACACACACACACACACACACACACATATATATATAATTTGAATTTTTGGAAACTTTAGCTGTGCTGTCAACTTTGGAAAAAAGTGTCCCAGTTTACCATGTTGAGTTGGCATTGCACAAAAATTAACAGCCATATTGGTCTAGAAATGTTGAACTTAATTTTTTCCATTTGTACAGGAGTAACACACTGTATTAAATATGTAAGGTCTTATCTACGTGGGTTTGATTACAAAAACTAATAAAGTATTATCTAAATAAAAAAATGTGTGCACAGAACTGTATTGTTAACTGTGCATGCTCTGCTGTAGAACAGATTATCACCCCTGTTTCATCTCCAAGAACTAACACTTTACACACATTGTATGAATCAGCTATTCATCACTCTCTAACAAATAGAAAACAACTTAAACAATTATTAAGTCTCGGGCTTTCACAGATTTTAGTCTGTGATTACCTAGCTCCATTGCTGAGGCCTGTGGTAAGGCAGATCACCAAGTCTTAAAAGAGCGTGTGGCAGGGATTAAGCATGTAGCTCAGTAAAAAACATTCTCACCTCGTATGTATGAAGCCCTGGGTTTGATGCCCAGTCCCACACAAACAGGACATGGTGGTGAATACCTGTAGCCCCAGAGTTAAGGGGCTCGAGAATATTGGAAGATCAGAAAGTCAAGGTAATTCTTGGCTATACATAGCAAAATCCAAACCAGCCAGGGATACATGATACCCTGTCTAAAAGAAGAAGAAGAATTTAAAAGAAATGAAAAGAAAGAACATAAAACTATGTGGTAAGCAGAGTGGGTCTTATTTGTTTAGTCTACCCAGATCCCAACCTATTGCATGGCTTCCACACTCAAGGCAAGCTTTGCCCACCTGTTTAGATATCTCTGAAAATGTCCTGATAAACACACAGAAAAGTATGTTGCTAATCTGTTGAGGAATATTATTTTAGCTAGACAGAGATGTGTTACACTTGTTGATTCTGTGGAATATGACTTCAATTATAAGGAGGTGTGTTACATTAGTTTCTGCTGCCTTTGTTTAATTATGTAAAGATATGTTGCACTGGTTTCACCTTGCCTGCCTAAGACACCTTATCGGTCTAATAAAATGTCAAAAGGCCAATAGCTAGGCAGAAAAGGGATATACAGGGCCAGTGGGCAGAAAGAATAAGTAGGAGGAAAAAAATCTAGGCACAAGGGAGAAGGAGGAGAGAAGGAGGGAG